CCAAGGAATATTTTGAGACCAGTTTCATTACAATAGGTCAAAAATGACAAAAATGATTAGCATTTTTGAAAATTCATTAATTCATGGTTAATGAATGGTTTATCACTTAGGTGGTGCAGGTGGTGCTGTTACCAAAATGATGTGGCCTGGTCAGTGTGAGGTGACAATGGCACATACAAAGTTTGGTGTAAATATGTCAAAGCTTTGCAGAGATACAGCCTCAGATGCAGTTTGACATCTTTCCAGCAAATTCGTTGATGCGCTAAACGAAAACCGTTTCGTATATCGACACGAAATCCATAACTTTTTGCCAGCTTGGTCTGAAGATGATCAGAGTCAATTTTAGTGAAAATCGGACTAACGGTCTAGGAGGAGTTTGAAAAAGTAGGTTTTCAACATGAATCAAAATGGCGGACCAGTTTCATTACAATAGGCTAATGTAAACAAAAGTTATTAGCATTTTTAGAAATTTCATTATAACTTTTGACACTGCCCCCAAACGTTTTGAGTACCATCAGGGCATGGTGCCGAAGAAGCATACCAAGTTTCGTAACGATACGTGAATGCGTTCGTAAAATATAGCATTTTACTACAAAATTCAAAAATTGGGTATCATTCGACTCTGCATAATAGACCTAATCTAAAGAGACCAGTTTTGTGATTTTTGGCCAAACCATTCAGAAGTTATAAGCAAAATTCTGCATTTTTCATATCTCCTGACCACTAGGTGGCACAGCGCCGAAACACTGCAGGTAGCCTCAGGTCATGCTTGTTATAACACACACAAAGCTTAGTCTCAATACGCCAAACTGTTGCGGAGATACAGCCTCAGATCCATTTTTGCGCGCTTTTCGTCTAATTCGTTCGAGCATTATTCGCGAACGGGTTAACTAATCAACTTGAATTCCATAACTTTTTGCCAGCATGGTCTGAAGATGATCTGAGCCAATTTTGGTGAGAATCAGACAAACAGTCTAGGATGAGTTCGAAAAAGTAGGTTTTTCTAACAATTAAAAATAGCGAAAACATTTTAGAATTTTCCTTCTGTGCCTTACGGTTCAAAAGTTATTAGCATAAACATGCGTGAAACTTTGGACAAGTGGGGGCGCTAGAGAGTTTGAGTTAGAGACTCCAAACTTGCTATGGTTAATGTTGAGACTGTCCTCTATCAGTGTGCCAAATTTCACAACTTTCCCGCAAGCGGATCTATGGGCTGCCATAGACTCAAGAGCGGAAGAAGAATAGGAACACCAACGGATACAATAGGTGTCTACGCACCTTCGGTGCTTGGCCCCTAATAATCAATGCTTTAAAATGTAATCAAATTTGATTTACAACAAAACATTGCATTTGTTTTTTTTTTTGTCAAATAAGATGCTGAATAACAACTCAAAATATATAAATAAAGACATTGATTAAAAATTGATTGGTTCTATGATATCCCTTAAAAAAAAACAGTATTACTTTAAGAAGCACATTTCAGTATACCATAATACTATATTCTGTCATAATTTCTTCAAGTTAAACCAAACTTTTATGTTGATGGTCTGTCGTGGAGATCTGCGAGTTTAAGTGTGTATTTGACAGTAGTTTTTCTCAAATGAAACGGTGTAAAGTTGGTGAAGAGACTCTCAGAGCAGCTCTGGAGATTAAGTTCATGTGTTCATGTCCTCATATATTGAGACACAGACGTTGAAAACACTGAGTGTCACATGTGTTTGAGTTTTTGTGTAATAGATGAAACTGTGCCAATCATTCACACAGAGACACACAGAACATGCAGACTTACTAGCGGCATGCACTGACTTGCTGCTGTCGCCTTTATTTCTACTATATATCTATACTATTATACTATATATCGCCCAGCTCCATTTACTTTGAGCCTCTGTTTACACGTGGCATTCACAGATCACTGCCTGAGTCAGCGGAGACTTTTACACCTGCTTTTATTGGCTGGACTGGATTTCCTGGCCACATTCATCTCTAATTATATCAGCGTGTCACTGCATGTTGCTGAGGCATATTGTAATTGGAAATCTGAAAGAAAAGAAAAAAAGGCTACAAGAAATCACTGATTTTCACCTGCCATTATGCCTTTGCTTGCCAGCACCATGATGGCGGTGAGGCCGACGCTGAAGATGGTGCTCTGACCGAAGTTGAGCATGGCCAGAGTAGAGGTGGTCTTCAGAGAGGACGACTCGTACACCTTCAGAAAACTATCGTAACGCTCGGCCTCATACTTCTCATTGTTGAAGTACTGAAAGAGAGAGAAACACGAAAAAACTTGGTTGAGAAAGAGCACAACAGAACGGCTACTAAAGGAAGGTCATGACGATCATCAGTTCAGAGATATATGAAAGACACCATTGATAACATGTTCGAGTTTCTTTCTTCTGTTGAACACAAAAGAATATATTCTTGTTGCTAACCAAAGAGTTCCTGGTCCCCATTGACTTCCATGCTGCAGAAATCAATGGGCACCAGTAACTGTTACTCATCCAGCAACTCATACAGGCTTGGAACAACTTCAAGGTAAATAAACGACAGAATTTTATTTTTGGGGAAACTATCCCTTTAAAGGGATAGTTCATCCAAAAATGAAAATTTGATGTTTATCTGCTTAGCCGCACGGCATCCAAGATGTAGGTGACTTTGTTTCTTCAGTAGAACACAAACGAAGATTTTTAACTCAAACCGTTGCAGTCTGTCAGTCTTATAATGGAAGTGATTGGGAATCACGGCTTTGAGAGTAAAAAAAAATAAACATACACAAACAAAACCAAATTAAACCCTGCGGCTCGTGACGATACATTGAGGTCTTAAGACACGAAACGATCGGTCTGTGCAAGAAACTGAACAGTATTTATATCGTTTTTTACCTCTGATTCAAGCAGTGTCCGAACTGTTCAAACTGTCCTGAGCGGCGGCACGTCCTCCTGAGCGCGTTCTCAACAGCAGTCGCTTGAGGCGTCGTCTTCTTGCTTTACGGTGGATCACAGACTTGTAAGTGCATTACCGCCACCTATCTCTCAAGTGGACCATTGACACTATCTACAATCTCAATTAGGAGTGTCAATGGAGCGTCAATGGACCACCCATTCACCTCCATTATATGACTGATAGACTGCAACGGTTTGAGTTAAAAATCTTCGTTTGTGTTCTACTGAAGAAACAAAGTCACCTACATCTTGGATGCCCTGGGGGTAAGCAGATAAACATCAAACTTTCATTTTTGGGTGAACTATCCCTGTAAGCATGGTAATAAATTATTATAATGGTATATTATGGCATTTCCAAGAAACTACAAGAAATAGCATGATATTACCATTGAACAAAAACACTTTAAGTGTCAGTCTGCTTATACCAGTTAAAGGTCTCTGGGATGTGAAATCAAGCGTGTAACAAGCCGGGCCACATGCAAACATGTTGGTGATGCCTCAATCACACATCCAGATGTCATTGAAGCTACAATCTCATCTCTCAAAACAGCAGCAGCTGAGTAAACCAAAGCCTAACGCCTTCACAGGCTCAGAGATGATACTGAGCGGCTCAAACATCTGAGAACACAAGAGCGCCACAATTAATTAGCTCTGAAATGTGACAAACAGTGGCGTGGTGATAAACAGCCACTGTTGGTTATGTGGAGGACAGTGACAGAATTATGCAGCAGAGCAACCAAGACAAAAAATATGATTATAAATTGAACAGTACATTTTTCCAACACATTAATACTAGCCATATTTTTGGCCTAACAACATATAAATGACATATACATTTCACTCAGACGATTCATTTAAAACAAAAAACACCACCACTGTGTGTAGCGCAGAAAAGCAGCGCTTGGTTTACATTTACATACACAAAAATAGCAAAGTAACTTGATAAATTGTGTCTAAAATTTAAGTTACTGAATACTAACTTTTTGGTTTACTGAATGGCATAAAACAGCAACATCACACTTATAATTGTGTTGTAAATCTATGCATACACTGCCATTCAAAAGTTTGGGATCAGTAAGATTTTTGATGTTCTTTAAAGAAGGTTCTTATGATCCTTCAGAAATCATTATAAAATGCTGTTATATTATCAATGTTGGAAACATTTGTGTTTTGCTTTTTTTTGGAAACTCTGATACTTTTTTCAGGATTCTTTGATGATTAAAAAGTTAAAAAGAAAAGCATTTATTCAAAATGGGAATCTTTTGCAACAATATACACTACAGTTCAAAAGTTTGGGGTCAGTACAATTTTTCTTCATTTTTTTTTTTTGGAAATAAATATTTTCATTCAGCAAAGATCTGTTAAATTGACTAAAAGTGACAGTAAAGACTTATTTTGTAAGAAAAGATTTATATTTTGAATAAATGCTGCTCTTTTTTAATTTTTTGTTCATCAAAGAATCCTGAAAAAAGTATCACAGGTTCCAAAACAAATAAATAAAATAAATTAAGCAGCACAAATGTTTCCAACATTGATAATAAATCAGCATATTAGAATGATTTCTGAAACATCATGTGACACTGATGACTGGAGTAATTACAGTTTTTTTTTCTGTATATTTGATAAAAAAAACAAAGCATTGATGACCACAAGACACTTCTTTAAAAAAAAATAAATAAAAAATCTTACTGATCCCAAACTTTTGAAAAATAAATATTTTCATTCAGCAAAGATCTGTTAAATTGACTAAAAGTGACAGTAAATACTTATTTTGTAAGAAAAGATTTATATTTTGAATAAATGCTGCTCTTTTTTAATTTTTTGTTCATCAAAGAATCCTGAAAAAAGTATCACAGGTTCCAAAACAAATAAATAAAATAAATTAAGCAGCACAAATGTTTCCAACATTGATAATAAATCAGCATATTAGAATGATTTCTGAAACATCATGTGACACTGATGACTGGAGTAATTAGTTTTTTTTTCTGTATATTTGATAAAAAAAAACAAAGCACTGATGACCACAAGAGACTTCTTTAAAAAAAATAAAATAAAAAATCTTACTGATCCCAAACTTTTGAAAGGCAGGGTAAATGCCATAAAGTTGTGCTGATATTTCATGGTGCCATTGAGAAAGATGGTGCATCTTGTAAGTAGTATGATAATCTCAGCACCTTTATTAACTCATAACGGACAGCTCTTCTGCACTGTAATGACAGTCTGAACATTTCATTATAGCTCATCAAACTCAGCAAAGACTCCTGCGCCAATTATCAGAGCAAGTGAAATTTTTGGAGGATTGTTTTACGAGTGAGGCTGCTTTAAAGACGAGCCTAGCACTGTCAGTGAGTGTGTTTAGAGAGAAACAGACAGATGCAGGGGTATTTGTGCTAGTGTAACAGATCTGGAGTGGGTGGATCTCATTATGCATGCACACAGGCTTAAAGTCATACTAAATCCACATGCACTGACACCAGAGACGGGAAACAAAGCTGCTCTTAACAAGAACGCACAACCGATTGAGCTGAAGGACAGAGGATCTGAGGGTTGAGACAGAATCTGAGCACAACAGCCTTTTAGATAAGACACTTATAAATACACAATCTGCAAAGATGCCTGAAGTACTTCTGACACAGCACATTTCACTGACCAGCACACTTATATGACTACATTTACCACAACCTGCACAAAACTGATGTCCTGCAGTTTGCTGAACAGCATTATGTGTGGAAAGCAACATTCATTTGCAAAACAGTTCAAAACTAATGGATACATAAAGAGATGTATAAAGTGGCTTGGAGTGCAGTATTCTAGTATGACTTTTATGTGCCATTGCTTCTTTATACAGAGCAGAGCTTTAAAACTAAACTATCTTTACAGCTGAAACTGAATCTCATAAATGATTATATATATATATATATATATATATATATGCATACAACATGCAGCTCCAAAAATGTTGTCCCAAACTGTCAAGCTTCTTCGCATTAATTACATTATAATGCAACAAACAAGATTCTCATTTATTACATTCAAATTGTACATTTGTAATTGTATACATTAAAAATCTAATAACTTAAAATTCTATAATTTACTGTTGTTTCAAACTTATAAGACTTTTGGGTTACACTTTATTTTAAAGGGTCAGTTCACCCAGAAATAACGCAGATAATACGATTTTCCATCTTCGGAAAATCCGAGAGCTCTCTGACCCTGCATAGACAGCAACACAACTGCGATGTTCCCAGGTCCAGAAACATAGCAAGGACATAGCTAAAATAGTCCATGTGTCATCAGGGGTTCAACCGTAATTTTGAGAAGCTACGAGAATACTTTTTGTGCGCAAAGAAAACAATAATAACAATTTATTCAACAATTCATCTCCCCGAGTTACCGTCTTCCGCCATTTTTGAGAGTATCCCAGAACGTAATCGAGCGCATGTCGAACGTAAACAATGCTGATTATGTTTATTACGTTCTGGGGTATTCTTACTATATGGTTAGGATTAGATTTTGGTTTAAAGTTACTTTTTATTTATTGTTATTATGATAGTAAGTAAATGTAACGTATAAAAAGGACACCTTAAAATAAAGTGTTCCGACTTTTGTTCCTCCCATCAGTGTTTCCTTTGCCATTATATTAGAGGGGCACCCCATCCCCCGCCCCCTTGAAGGTCAAGTTAATTTTATTTTCTATATAGCGCCAGATCACAACAGAAGTCATTTAAGGCTACCGTTCCTATAGACAGGGCTGCCAACTCTCACGCATTGCTCTCACTCTGCCCATGTAAATCTCACGCCAAACTGGCAACCCTGTTTATGCGATATGAAACAAAGTCTCAGCGTTCAAATTTTGTACGTTTTAATACTAAATTCAAACAATAAATACCGTTTTGGTGCACGTAATGTGGCGTAAATCGTAAAATGTAGCGCTTCAGTTAAAGCCAGAGCCGTTGAAAAACAGAGTTGTGACCAGCTTCTCTCTCGGTCACATGGTTCATGGTGTTCTCCAAACAAACCAGCGTTGACGATACATTTGAATGGGTTTAAGTAGGACAGACAACAGCTTCATTATACAGGTATTTGCAGCAATTTTTGGTAAACATTACAGCATATTATGCAGTATCATTTTATTCTGGAGAGTGATGGAGAGGCAACATTAATATGGTTTTCTTAACCCTCAGGTATTGCTTACTTATAATGTGACCATACAGCTTAACTATTTTTCAGTTAAATTAGTGTTCTATATTTTAGTTCAATAATATTTATTTAATATTTTGAGGAGATCTTTTGGTACTAAATACTACTTGTGCAATAA